AAAAAATCATAGTTGATATATTTGAATATTTTTTTACTTATTGACTTATATAAGTTATGTACCTACAACACTAATATTATCTCAATTATGCACTATACAGAAAATTTTGATTTGATTTATAGTTAGAGATGTCGTTCACTGAACCTAAAACCCTGTATCATGATCATTATATTTTTTTTTATCCTTTATTGGATAATAACATGTGATTTATTATTTTTTATATTAAAATATTTGAAATTTTTATAATTTTTTTTAAATATTTCAGTATGTTTATAATTTTTTAATATAAATTATAAAATTGCATATAATTACCAGATCATGCAATTGAATTAGTGATCCACTGATTGAATCAATAATACAGTGATCTAATACCTTGATCGAGTCAATAACGAGCCAATTTTAATAACATTGTGTTATACACATTTTCTATATATCTGATCTATTATTAAGAAGGACAATAAAGTAAAAATTCTAAATCAGTGTCAATTTCATTCATCTTAAATACTTAAGTATTTAGATATATAAACAATATTGTCTCAAAGCAATCAAAGATATAATTAAATAATCAAATATAATATTATTTTTAAAACAATTAAGTATATTAAATATCAGTTTTATAGATAATATATTTTTTTAACAATAATCTGACTTCATCATTGACAAATTGGTTAAATAAAAAAAATACATAATTTCCTTATACAAAAAAGTGGTATAAATTTTTTTTAATTTACAAATTAAATATTTTTAAAATAAATGAAATAAAATTGAGTCATATAGTTAATATGTTTTAAATATATTTTTCTATTAAAATTAATAAAAACTAAAAAATATCTTTTAGTTAATTTATTTTCAATTTCAAAATATTTTTCCAAAATTTTTATTGAAATATTTTAACTACAGAATTTTTTAAAATAAAAATAAGCTTAAAAAATTATATGCATATATAAATTCGTGAAACACATAAGTAGAATATCTAATGTTAATGCATATATAAAATGCTGCGAAAACTTGTGGAACTTGAGCCTAACTTAACTAAAAAAATTCAAACTTTCTGATAGCAACTACCAATATAAGGTAGTTTTGAGCCAAGATAGCTCTCATTCGTAAGTAATGAATGCAATTTTTTTTAAGGAATAGAAATGAATGTAAATATCATGACATGGTTAAGAAAATTAAATAGAGCAGTAGCAACTAGCAAGAAGGAAGCACAGTAATTTTTTTTATAAAAAAATCATATTACATTCCAAAAGTCCATACAATACCAAAAAAAAAGTCCATACTTTGCATTGGACCAGAGTATATACCGAACTAAGATATCACAGTTTGGAGCACTATGCATGAGCGCAGAAAAAATAAAGAAAGGCTGAATGACGGTTGAAACTTAAAACCTATCATCATCTGTCACATTTACAAATCTGAATGTTACAGTAATATCGAACCAAATGACTTATACTACTTGCAAACCACTTTGTCCTGGCATTAGAAGGCATTTTAAGCTTACTTGAAAGCAAGGTATAGAGCTTTTCTATGTTACCGCCAAATTAGCTCTGTTAGAGAGTTGAAGATAAGGTAAGGTACGGTCATCCCAAGTCTCCCTTTCCACCGAACACATTTTCGGCGCAAGGTACTTCTCTATAAAAAAATAAAGAGTTTTATAAGAATTACGATTGAAGTAATTGGATAATGATATAGAGATTCGTTTTGCATGTTGTAATTTTTTTTTTTTTCAAAAAGTGTGGGCCTCACAAAATATTGTGTGTGTAGGAAACTTTGTTGTGTTATCTTAAATGATAAATGCAAATTCCAAAAATAAAATATAAAAAAAATATAAGTATAAGAGAATTTAATGTTTCTAATGTTATAAGAGATAAAATTATCTCTTACGGACACACACGTGAAAGTATGTTGGGTCTATTTTTTTTTTCTTTTTTCTCTTAACATAACTTTATATGGGTTCTGTATGTTTTATAAATATATATATATATATATATAAAGAGAGAAAAATGTTTATCCTTTTAAATGACACAATTTATATCATTTTATTCTCACAAAAAGATGAAACCCAAAATCTTTATTTTTTTTGTCAACTCTCTCTTCTCCTTTATCTATCTCTTAAAATGACATAATTTTACCTCCTTTTAAATGACACACACTTTATCCATATATATATAAAAGATAATTTATCTCTTATAATATGAGATATTCCATAATCACTCGTATAAAAAGTAATGTAAAATTATTTTTTTTAGTATTGGATGTACTGAAAATATTTTGATTCCCACCGCTCCAAATCAAGATGCAGGCTTTTTGAGATATTGAAAATGGAAACCAAAATGAGGGAAACTTTTATTGACAGAAGCAGCAGCCTCTACCTGTGTTTCCTCTTCTTTATTAGAAATGCAATGATGGGACTTGCTCTCTGCGTTTGCTCACTGCTGATGCGCCCACTTCCTTCTTGTTCTTTCTTTCTGTGCGCGGGACAACTATCCAAAGTGACATACTTTTTTGTAAAAAAATACCTTAGTGTCATATTTTACAATTTTTCTTTCTAACTCGCTATAATATTTGGCAAATTAGGTGTTGACATATAAGTTGCTGTATAATGCACTTAGATTACATGACATCAAATATGTTATCCATAATATATTTAATCAACTTCTGACATGTGGCAAACTTGCTATGCAGCATAGTATGTTACATGTGTGTTGTAAAATAATTTAAATTAATATAAAATTAAACTTAAATAATTAACAAACATAATTTACATTTAACTCATTAACACTCTTAAATTAAATTACATTACTTAACGGTTCAAAAAAAACATAACTTATCTTAAACTAAATCAAATGAAACTAATTAACACTCTTAAAAATAATTAATTAATAGTTATAAAATAATTTAAATTAATATAGACTGAATTAAACTAAGATAATTAAAAAACATAAATTACGTTTAATTTATTAACACTCCTTAATTAAATTAAATTAAATTACTTAATATTTCAAAAAAAATTAACATAACTTAAAATTAAATTAAATGAAATTAATTAACATTCCTAAAAATAATTAATTAACAGTTATAAAATAATTTAAATTAATATAGATTGAATTAAACTAAAATAATTAATTTAAATTATTTATAATTATTAACTAATTATTTTTAGGAACATTAATAATTATGCTACATAGCACGTTTGTCACGTGTTAGAAAAGATGATTAAACATGCTATGTTGCATAGTATGTTTGTCACGTGTCAAAAGCTGACGAAACATGCTATGCTGCATAGCATGTTTGATGCCATGTAATCTCGCTGCACTGCACGGCGAATTACGTGATCATGCACCTTCTACCATCTGTCAACACCTAATTCGCCAGTTGTAGCAAGTTAAGTGATGTGATATTTTGAAAAAAAATTTGTAAAATGTGTCATTCAGATAATTTTTTATAAAAAAATATGGCACTTTAATCATTGTCTCTCGTTGCCCTTATTGGACTTTTGCAATTAAACACCTTAGTTTGATTATGTTAAGGTAACAAAGTTATTAGAAAAATTAATTTATATTTGAGAATGATATTTTAAAAGCTAAAATTTAGACATTAACCAAGAACTAAAAGTGGATGTGAAATTGTGAACTGAGATTCACTCAAGAGTCAAGACCCATCATTTTCTTTTGATTTCTTTCCGGGCCAAATAATAATGCGCGCTTATCTCATCCCATAATGCGTCATGTATATTTACTTAGCACATTTGCTGCATGTAATTTTTTTTTCCAGGTACCATTGGTCTCGGGTTTTCAAGGTTTACTTCCTTTGTCTTGATTGGCATTTTAATAAGGTTAAATCACAATTCCTATTTATGATTATTTTAAAAGTCCTAGTTTCATTTAGAGGGAACCGATTGGTTGAACCGGTTGAATCAAGAATTGAACTCCTAATCTGTTTCATTTAGTCAATTAACTAGTTATGTATATAATTAATCAAAAATTAGGTTCAACCAATATTAACCCGATATTGATTTTTTAGTTGAATTAATTTTTAAAAAATATAGTAAACTATTCATTACAAATACACTCCTTCACACCTAAAGGAAGGAGAATGATACGCTAATCAATTAAGTTAAATTAGTTTGGTTATCATATTACTTCTATTTATATATTTTTCATATTTTTTACAAAAATTTAATTTAAGCGGTTGAATCAATAATCTAGTGATTGAACTAATGACTTATTGATCTCACATTCTGACCAAGTTGATGACCTGTTCAATTTAAGGAGGTGTTTGATAGAAGAGAAAAAAAAAATTATCCAAAAATCATAATTTTTGAGAATATGTTAAAAAAATAAGTTTTTCGAAAATTATCAAAATATTATTTAATAGGTCAAAATATTATCAAAAATTTTGTCAGAATTTTCAAATTTAGTTTTTCATTTTTATGAAAAAATAAGAATACCTTTCGAAATTCCAATTTTTTTTGGAAAATATCACTCTTCTTTTACATAAGATAACTTCTCTCCTGCTCTCTCACATCGATTTTCGCACCTCACCTCACATTTTCCTTTTTTTTTTTCCTTTTTTCTTGTAATGGTGGGACCCACCTATTTCCTCTCTACAACCTAAAATAACTATCTTATGTAAAAGTAGAATAATAAAACTTTTTTTTTATAAATCTTCTGCCAATCATAATTAAATTAAATTTTTATTCTCACTTTCCCACAATCCGAAAATAAATCAGCTTACACCTTTCTTCTTTTTGATTCCCAATGACATAAAAAAGTCCATTTTGATTCCCTTGTTCTTTTTTTTCTTTCAAAAAAGAAGAAGGAAGAAACCATAAAATAAAACCACTAGGTGGAGAAGTTTCGGTCATCTATATCAGACTATATCTACTTATCCCGAAATGGGAAACTTTGTCATAGCCATTAGCCACTCATAACTGAATCCCCTTACACTCCTCTGTATCATAAGCACTCCATCCAAGGAGGGTTGCAAAGCAAATAGAAATGGCAGATAGGAGTGTTTTTCTGAACAAAAGCAGCTGTTTTGGTGGAGAAGCAAGAGAGGACAAAGATTTTGACGAAGAAGATGTAAGGGGTGTAACCAAAGAGAGAGAATATGATTCTTGCCCAAAAACCAAAAGGGCAGAGGAGTCCTCCTCTGGTCCAAGAAAGATCCCAAGGGCTAATAGTAATACACTACCTGCTTCCAATGCCACATTGATTCAAGGGTCTTCGGCACCTATGGACATTCCTGACTGGTCAAAAATTTATGGGAAGAATTGCAAGAAGAACAAGGGTGGTTGTGGTTGTAGTTATGCGGATCATTGCTATGATGATGGAGGTGATGATGAGAATGATGATATGATTCCTCCACATGAATGGATTGCTAGGAAGCTTGCAAGGAGCCATATTTCATCTTTCTCTATGTGTGAAGGGATGGGGAGGACACTCAAAGGGAGAGATCTTAGCAAAGTCAGGAATGCTATTTTGACCAAAACTGGTTTCATAGAGTAGTTAGTGCTTAGTGTATACATATATATATATATATATATATATATATATATATATATACGAGGTAGGATCCTTTGACACTGGTGTCAAAGTTTATATACTTACAAAATAGAGTCGTTGATCTTTTTTGATCCGACGACTATCAGATGAGATGTCAAATTTGAAATTTGACACTGGTGTGAAAGAATTCTACCTCTATATATATATATATATATATATATATATATATATATATAGTAGTCACCACCATGACGATACATAGTAGTCACCACCATAATTATCGTCCATTTCATGTCATCATATAAGCTTAAAATTTTGGCATCATCACTACTACTAGCACTTCCACAATCAAGTCATCATCGATCATTGTTTGACTCGGATCCCATGCAATCGTTTTTTGTTTTGATTATTCTCAACCATATAGAGAATATTAGTATGGAATATATTGTCCTGCTAGTGGAACTTAAAGTAGAATCCCTACTTGAAGTCAGAGCTGTCTGTTTGTTGTTCTAAATTTTCTGGGAATGGGAAAGGAGCGTTTTGTAGGGAAGGATAAACAAAAAAGGAGTGGCAGTGGCAACCTCTGAAATTTTTGTCTGGATTTCTTGTAGATTTCTATGTTTTAGGGGAACGGAGTGCACCTATAAATGGAAGAGCCATTACTTTTTAGTCTTTCGGTTTTTCTCTTTGTTTGATGCTTTATATATATTGGGTTTTACGAGAGTTATGTTGTAAGAAAAGTGATTGTTTAATGTTATACAGATTCCTTTTGCGTGTCTTAGTTTTTTTTTTGCTTCAAAAAATGTGAGCTCTACAAAATGTGTGTGTAGAAATTTATTTTGTGTCATGTGACATGATAGATGCAAACTTCTTATATATTAAGTGAACCTTTTTTATTCATGTAATATCTAAATTACCTGTTAACACTGGTCAATATTATCTTTCAAATATAATCACTTGCATTGGTAACTGTTTCAATTTTTAAACCACCGTGTGCATTGAAATTGAACCTAACTTTAGCTCTCAGTAATATTCAATGTCCCCCGGATTCAACTAGAAAAAAAAAAAGCCTCCATAGTTTATATATATATATGGAAAAATATTTATTCTTTTAAAGGACATATAGTTGTGTGTCATTTTAGGTAAGAAAAAGACACAACCTAGTTTTTTATTTAAAATTTAAATTTAAAAAAAATTACTCACTTTCTCTTGTATGATTTTTATTTTTCATTAGTTGTGTCTTTCTCTAACCTAAAATGACATAACTTAATGTCCTTTAAAAGTACAAACACTAAATCCATATATGTATATTCTACATCCCTATAAATTATTCTCAATTTTAGCTATTGAATCTATTTATATCTAACACCTATGATTTATTAGATATATAAATTATTAGATGCAAGCAAATTAATAATCAAGATTTGATATTAGATTTCTCATTCTTGTACCATTGTAAAAATGACATGTCCTATATATATAAGGTTTATTATTTCTCATGTTGTAGAAGATAAATTTATCTTATATACACACATAAAAATATACATGACTTATATTTTTTATTTCTCTCTTCTTCTCACGTGGTCCTGTGTAGGAGATCAAATTTATTTCCAATAATATGAGAAATATTAACATCATATATATGGGTTAATATTTTCTCATATTACATGAGAAAATAATTTTCTCCTACACACACAATTCAAATGTGAAGCCCACACTATACTTTTTCTCTCTCCTCTATTTTGCGAGTATAGGAGATTAATATTTTTTCATGTAACATGAAAAAAATTATCCCTATATATATATATAGTAGGATCCTTTGACACCGGTGTCAAATTTGAAATTTGACACCTCATCTGATAGCCGTTAGATCAAAAAAGATCAACGACTCTGATTTGTAAGCATGTGACACTATTATCTTTTTTTATCTAACGGCTATCAGATGAGGTGTCAAATTTCAAATTTGACACCGGTGTCAAAGGATCCTACCTCATATATATATGAGGTTATTATTTCTCTATCAATTTGAGATATAATTATCTCCAGTAAATTCAAAACCATGTTGGGAAAATTAACGAAGTTTTAGAGGGCGTTTGGTTGAGGAGAAATTTTTTGAATACTAGGGAAATGGTTGAAAAGTGAGTTTGGAAGAGAAATGTAAAAAAAGTTGTTTGGTTGGAAAAAAAATTTACTGGGCAAATTAGGTAAGATTTATAAAGTCTATGTATGATTTGAGGTAAAATATAGATAGAAAAATAAATGACAATTACAAAAATATCCCTGTTTTTAATTTTTTTAATCACATACCCTTTACCCTTTTTTTATTATTATTACAAACCTACCCTTTACCTTTTTTTTTGAATCACGTACCTTGTTCTTTCTTTCTTTGAATCAGGTAACCCTTATAAAAGAAATTAAAAATTATCAACTGTGAACAGATTATAATAGCATATTAAAACAACTTCTTCAATTGGCAGGTGTTATCAATCTAATGAACAACGAAAAGTGTATGAGAGGGTAATTTTGTCATATTTTATGTCAACTTGAATCGATTTAGCCGGTTTTCAAGAATACAACGTTGCAAATGGCAAAGCTAATCAGTGTTTTCATTAGTTTTTTGCATAGGAACAAAGAAAGTTGGGCAAACATCTTCCCTATGTAAATTTTCGTAACTCTTCTACCAAACAAAGAAAACATAGATTGCCAAAGTCAGAAAGATGGGGATCTCAATAAAAAATCTCAACCATCGAAAAGGCTACTATTTTTAGACATTATTTGGTAGAGCTTATTGGGAAGCAAATTATCGAAGTTTTAGGATGTAGAGTATGTGTTTGATCCGCAAAGGATTTAAAATTTTAATTTTAATATTCATCCCGAATCGGATTAGTCACAAAGGAATAAATTAATTGAAATATTTTTATTTTTTTTTGGGTACATTAATTGAAATATTTTAACATATATAGAGAGAGAGAGTTATGGTGATAATTTTCCGTTGAATCACATTAGAGAGGTGCATTAATTTTTTCTACTCTGATCCTTCTCGGTGCATTAATTTTTCTTCAATTATTAAAAATTACACTACTCTGATCCTTCTCTCGCTGGATGGATAGAAAGGGATACAAGAATTTTTTTTTTAATATTTTAGGGTTTATTTTTATTTGATTAATTACTTATTTTAAACATATAATAATGTGTTACTTTTTATTTATTTTCTCTTTTGATTTTATCAAAGGAAAATAGTTTTCTCACTTTACATGAGAAAATTCACCGACAATTAAAAGATGAATCTCATTTTATTTTTTTATGGACCTCACTCATGTATTATGTGTGTGTAATATATTCTCATGTAAATTGAGAAAATTAATCTCCTTTATCAAATAAAAAAGACCAGTTCCTTTTTTCTTTTTTATTTCCTTTTTATTCTTTGGATATTGATATATGTCTTCTTTTTGTATTTCTCTCTCTATTAAGACACCTAAAAAGGGCCTTATATGGAATTATTATGTTTTATGTGAATTAATATACACATCAATAATTGTTCAATTTAATATAGGATGGTTTATAACATGTTTGAGTTATTTAAAAATAACATTTTTCATTTTCACTCAATGGGTAGTTTGAAACCCAAAATCATGTATATCATCATATGGTTGGTAAACATGTTGGTTGTGGATGAAATTAATTTTACATGTTGTAAACTAAGAATAAAAGTATACAAATTATAAAAGGAAATACATATGTTATGTAACATGACAGGAAACTAATTTCTTGCACAAACAAACTTTGGTGGGACTCACAGTGAAAAAAAATAAAAAACAAAAGAAATGTTAGCACAATAATCGATGATGGGTCAACAGGAATTATTTTTCCTATCATATTACATGATAGATGTATTGTCCAATTATAAATGGGGTTTAAGTGTGTCATGTTGCAAGACATATTTTAAATATTTTTCTGACACAATATTGTATGTGGCCACTGTTATAGTGAAAAAGAAAACAGAAAAAATGCCTATCACATTTTTCTATGGGTTATTAGGATAAAGATTTGGGAAAAGTGTGTATCATTTTAAAGGATGTAAAGTTGTGTCATTTTAAGTGAGAGAAAAAGATAGATAAAGAAGGAGAGAGAGTGGACAAAAAAATATCAAGATGTGGGTCCCACCTCTTTGTGAGAGTGAAATAACATAAGTTGTATCATTTAAATGAACAAACACTTTTTCCTATAGATTTATGTTTCCTGCATAATAATAGTTGCATTTTCCATTATAAATATAGGGTTTTTCTTATCTTATGTCACACGAGATGACATCTCTCATGTCATAGACACAACAAGTAATGAGATCCATCACTTGTTAAAAAAAATAATATTTACCAAAAAAAAATAAAAAAAGAATAACACGGATTTTGATACTTCACAACATGAGAAAACAATCTCCAATAATACAATAAAATGATTTTCCATAAATATATCTTAAGGAGGGATATTCTTACTACTAAAATTTTCCACTACCAACTCACTACCTATCTAATCACCATTAGATTAACATTTTCTCTTTCTTCAAAACTTTTTAACATTCTCTCTCTTTGATCCAATAGTAATGTGATGGGTAGTAATTTAGTAGTAAATTTTTTTGATAGTTAGAATATCCTTACTCGTATATCTTAACTTTTGTTTTTCCCTCACTTCTTGCAGGGTTCTACCTTTATCACTTGTGAAGGGACCATGTTTTCTATGTTAGAGCATATGGCTTTTTGGTTTGTTATTTATTATATGGAAAAAATATTTATCCTTTTAAATGACACAACTTATGTTATTTCACTTTTATTAAGAGGTGGAACCCACATCTTTTTTTGTTCATTCTCTCTCCTCCTTTATCTATCTCTTTCTCTCTTTAAAAACAACACAACTTTACATCCTTTAAAATGACACATATTTTTCCCTTACTATATACATGTCATTTCTTGTTTTGTCTTTTGTTTTAACCAGGGGATGAATTTATT